TTGCATTGTTCACGGTGAGGCTGCCTGTTCCGACATGAAGGGGTTATCGCATTTAATGCTGCAAGAGCCTCATTAATGGCTAATGTGTGGTGCAATAATTTTGCAGGATCTTTGTGTGCTTACGTGACTAATTCCCTTCTTGACAAGTGTGTAGATGCCATTGGTTCCTGGTGCAACGTTGGGTTCTCAATGGTGTTGGGTTTTAGTGTTTGAATCGTGAATTGGGCTCTAAATGATGGGCCAAAAGCTTTTGTGGGCCCACCGATGTTACAAAGTATTATCGTTATCAATATAAGTCGAGTAAAGTCTACCTCTGCAATTGTTCTGAAAAAAAAACAAATAAATAAATAAATAAGTATGAAAAATCAACGAGTCAGTTTGGTAGGGTTCACCCAAGTGGCGTAGGAATCGCTGAATTCTTTTGTTTGTTGTCACAATGTACTCTTAACTAGTAAAAAACATTATTTTAAATTTCTTATGACTTTAGATAGAATTCACTTTTAAAATCAACTTACAAAAGAAATAGTGTCTAAAATGCTTTTATGTATATAATTGAGGTTTATTTTACTCGATGTTGGATTGTAATATACAATCACCTTCTATAGTAGATATTTACGATAAGTACTCTATCAACACCGTCTAAGAATAGCTCTTCCCTTTTTAGCAAATTCAATCAACTATTCAGTGTGTTTGGTTTCAGTTTTTTGAATTTAATTTTCAGAAAATTAAGTTTTTTATTTTTCGTATTTTTTTATTTTTAGTGAATATTTTTAAAATTTTAAGTAATTTTTTTTTACTTTTTTAGATGCTTTTTTACCTAGCTGTATCTAAAATAGTAAAAAATATTTGTGAAAAAATATTTTAAAAAATTAATAAGTACACAAAAATACGAAAATATACTAAACTTTTGTATTTTGTAAAATATTTTTTGGTATTTAGTGTATTTTTTAAATATTTTTTTTCACAAATATTATACTTTTTAAGTGTATTTATGTTAGGTATGTCTAAATTTTTTTTAAAAAAAAATGCTTAAAATATTAAAAAATTTAATTGAAAACCTTAAAATACGAAAAATAAAAAAATAGAATTTTCTGAAAACTGGAACCAAACAAGTTGATTAGTACTTGATATCTTTTTAAATGTCTTAATCCATTTTATAGGTCACCACTCCATGGCTCAAATTGCAAAGCTGCACCCATCCAATTCCTACTCGATGTGATGCCTAATTTTGATAACAAATGATACAAACCCTTTAGTAAACTCCAGTCTTAATAATCGGCTAGCAAAGAGGGGTAAAGAAGGAATCCAGATCCTCTGCTGCGTTCTCCTGTGGCGGTCCCTGCGGTCCCCTAAAACGATGTCGTTTTGGGGCAAATTTAAAAATAAAAAAAAATGTCAAGAACCAGAACCAGAGAAGGGAAGAAGAAAGAAGAGAAGGCAGAGGAAGAACGAAGCAGTGGGAAGAACACCCATTCAAACACCCATTCAAGCATTCAAACATTCAAACAACCATTCAAAATTAACAACCAAATGATAAATATTAACACTGGGTGTTCTTCTGGGACACATATTAACAAACAAAACTAAGATATATGGATATATATATATATACATATTAACACTTTGAACATCCAAATGTAAATCAAAATTAATTAAAAATTATATCAATACAAACAAAAGTAAAGAATTTGTTCCTCTCCTCTTTGATTTTGGATCTCAAATCTTTCATAGAGATTTTGAAACTTTGCTTTTCTTCATAAACCCATCTTTCTCCATTTCAGATCTAGGTTGAAACCAGGGGAAAAATCGCCGAACGACAATGAGGATGATCGACAAACTCCCTCTGGTACACCGACAGCGAAGAAAAGAGGAGAAAAGATCGAGATGGTTGCTGGCCATGGAGATCGAAAGAGAGAGAAGGGGGCTCGTGGCTATGGGGGTGGCGATGGTGGGTTGCGGCGGTGATGGCGGGAAGATGGTAGCGGCGATGGCGGGAAGATGGTGGCGCCGTGGGATGCCTTCTTGCCTTCTTTCTTCCCCTACCTTCTCTTCTTTCTTCTTCTCTTCTCTGGTTCTGGTTCTTGCTCCATTTTTATTTTTTTTTTTGAAAACATGCCACAAAACGACGTCGTTTTGGGGCACCGCAGGAACCGCCGCAGGAGAACGCGGCAGAGGATCCAGATTTGGTAAAAAAGAGGCATAAATCACCCATGGTGAATTTGACGCGGACGTGACCAAGATAGACCTCAAGCATTCTTTCTAGCCCATAAATACAATGGGCTTAAAAATTCTGTTTAGGCCAGCTTCAGAATCGTATATCTGATCTTTTGTGATTGGTCAATAAGCTCTGGTTTGATTTAGTTTTTGAGAAAATTTTATTTTGCCTTTTCAAATTACTATTCAAAAATCAATTTAACTCTTATTTTTTAAAAAAATATTAAATTTACACATAAACTATTTATTTTTGGATCAATTTTACCTCATGTTCCATTTATAATCAAATGGAAGTTATTGATGTGGCACCAAAATTTCATTTTACTCCAAAATTATCTCTAAAATATCAATTAGACCCTTAAACTTCTTTTATTTAGGGATCTAATTAATATTTTGGAGATAGTTGGCAAGTAAAATAAAATTTCGGTTCCACATCAGCAACTTCTATTTTATTAGAGACAGCAATTGACGGTGGGAGTAAATTGATGTAAAATCAAAAAGTTTAGCTACAAAATTGATATTATTAAAAGAATAAAGGTTGAATTAATTTTTTAGTGATAATGTAAAAGTAAAGTGAAATTTTCTCTTACTTTTTTTTATTACGAACTATATACTAATCAAGCTTTGTAAGTTATCGAGACATTAATAATCCCTATTGTGAATCCAAATTATATTGTTATTGTTATGATTTAAAACTAGGATATTTTTTTTTTATGATCGGGTGTTCGGGTCAATTTACACTTAACTAATTTTGGTACTAATGCAAAGCGCCCCCTTCATGTCGATCGGAAAATCTCTAGCAGAGCGCCGAGGGTGTGGTCCCAAGGAGTCGATAACACTTAGTAAGAGTTGAACCTAAAGGAATACACCCCCAAACCCTAAGTTACACCCACTAAGCCAACCATTAGGTTTTTAAAACTATGATCATCACCACAGATAGCTTGCCCAATTCATCTCAATCTCAGTAGTGCCTGGTTTAATATCAGGCTACACTATTATTTTATTATAACATATGTTTGTTATTTTGTATAGGGTTATGTATCATGCTTTGTTGAGAAATTTCATGCTGGTAAGTGATCTCATTTTGACTTATTTTGTGTTATATGTAACTATAAATTAAATTGAGGTTTTGTTCAGTATCACCTATAATTGTTTTTAAGATATTTTTATGGAGGATTGAAAAAAATTAGTATCGACATAAAATAATTATAATATCCTGAAAATATAAGTAATTTATGTATTAAATTATATAAGTAAATCTCATATTTCATCTTGTTACAATTATTTTAAATTTATATTATTTTTTTTGCAATTATTCCTATTTTTTATATTCCCTATTATTGCAATGATTGAAGTCACCACAGCAACTTCTTTGATACGGCGTTCATTATATTAAGAATGAAGATCAAATTTTAAAATAATAATTTTCTTTTTTAAATAACGAAGTCTTCGCTGAGTAAACAAATTAATTTTCCAATTTTAACCTTTGATTAAATTACTACACAAATCAATAAGAAAATTGAACGTGAAAAAAATGGGAAAAACTACGGTCCCAATATGCGATCGAAATTTAATACTCTCTCCGTCTTAAAATATCAGTCTCTTATTTTATTTTTTATTATCCTAAATTATTAGTCTCTTTTTAAAAATTAAGAACTAAAATAATATGAATTTCTTATTTTGTCTTTTTTTAAATTTATTAACAATACAAAAAGTATAATTATAAAAATTAATATTTTAAAAAAAATGTATTATCAATATTTTTAAAGTGTAATAGGGAGTGGTAATATTAAAAAATTAAATACTCTAACAGAGAAAAAAAAATGAGTAGTTTGAAAGGAGGAGAAAACAAAATATATGAGAGAGGCCAGAGACGTCATTGAAATTCTAGACCTTTGCCAACTGCACCAAGGATCCTCTAGAGTGTTTTTTTCTTAAAGTTTTTTAAAGTGGTGTATTGTGTGGTTGGGATTTAATGCTGAAAAATTGATATGACTTGTCATTAAATCTCAACCACACAATGCACTACTCTAGGAAACTTTAGAAAAAAAACACTCTAGAGGATCCTGCTCCGATAAATAAGAGAGTAAAGATTCCTCGTTGACTTTGCTATTTAACTCCTTACCGGATGAGTTATTGGATTCATTTTTAGACTCAATTTGAATGGTTCAAACTATTTATATTTTAAAATTTATCATGTATATTATATTTATAAAAAATTAAATTAATTTAATATTAAAAAAACTATAATTAAATATTGAAAAAACTAAAAATCGTTTAATAAAAAAATTTAATAAATAATAAAAAATAAATAATTTTATTATTTAATAAAATTTTTAATTTACGTAATTTTTGATATTCAATTTTATTTTTATAGGTATAATATACTTAACAAATTTTAAATTATCAAAGATTTGAATTATTAATATTCGACTCAAAAGTTGATCCACTAACCCATGAAATAAGAAATTAAGCAAGGGAGTCGAGGGATCCTTGCTCATAAATACGAACCACTGCTACAACTCGGAAATATTAATAAACTACACACTCCAAAATCTCTCTCCCAACCAATACCAAAGAAAGGAAAATGAGTGAGAGCACTAATTAGTGCTATCACTAATGATGTGGCAGTGGGCCCCACCAGCAATGATTTGATATTTTGGCTTTGATGTTGTATTTTTTTTCTTTTTTTATTGAGTGTCATGTCATTAGTGGTCTTTTTAGAGCTCCAAAATTAGTGGTCTCTATCATTGTTGCCAAAGAAAACCAACAGAAGCAGTAGCATCAGGACCAAGAGAGGAGGGAACAAATGTCGGTGTCGGTGAAGGAGTGGTTGAGCGACACGTGGAGCGACCTCAAGGACGATCTCATGGAGGAGCGGAGGAAGACGCTCCGGCGGATATGCAATGGAGTTCTGATCTTGAGCGTCATCATCTTAGTAATCGTCCTCCTAATCTGGGCCATCCTCCGGCCCAAGAAACCCGACTTCGTCCTCCAAGACGCCACTGCCTACGCCTTCAACGTCACCGCACCAAACTTCCTCACCTCCAACATTCTAGTCAACATCGAATCCCGTAACCCAAACGACAAGATCGGCGTCTACTACGACAAGCTCGACGTCTCCACCATCTACCAGAACCAGCAGATCACCTCCTACACCGCCATACCACCCATATACCAGGGGCACAAGGAAGTCAACGTTTGGTCTCCCATGGTGTCAGGCGTCAACGTCCCCGTGGCCCCATACAACGGCGTTGCACTCAGCCAGGACCAGGCCTATGGAACAGTCTTGCTCACCATCAAGATTGAAGGACGGGTTAGATTCAAAGTTGGCACCTACATCTCTGGCCGCTATGGCTATCAAGTCCTTTTTTGATTCTGGTAAAATGCTTAAGGAGATTAACAGTACTAATATAGCTTTGGTTCCTAAAGTTCCCAACCCCTCTAAGGTTGGGGACTATAGACCCATATCCTATTGTAATACCATCTATAAATGCATTGTGAAAATGATTGCTAATAGGATTAAGGGTGTGTTGTTGGATGTCATTGATGCGGTTCAGTCTGCGTTTGTCCATGGTAGGAGAATTGCTAACAATATTTTTCTTTCCCAGGGGCTTATGATGGGGTACCATAAGCTCTCTCCCTCTCCTAAATGTGCCATGAAAGTGGGTTTAATTAAGTCTTATGATAATGTTCGGTGGGATTTCCTCTTTGATGTGCTTAAGGCTATGTCCTTTCCTACTTGGTTGATTCATTGGATCAAAGCTTGTGTTACATCTGCTAGCTTCTCCGTCTGCATTAACGGGAGTAGCCATGGGTACTTTCAGGGGGCTCGGGGGCTTAGACAGGGAGACCCCATGTCTCCTTACCTGTTTGTCATTATTATGGAGATTCTTGCTAGGATCCTTAATGAGTAATCCAAAGACCCCCATTTCAAATTCCACTGGAGATGTGGGAGGAACAAAATTGTGAACCTTTGTTTTGCTGATGACCTTATGGTCTTTTGTAAAGGGCATGTCCTTTCTGTCCAACTTATTAAAAATGGCCTTATGGAATTCCAATCCCTCTCTAGGTTATCTTCGAACCCAAATAAGAGTAATGTTTTATTCTCTGGCTGTACCCCCTCTCTTAAAGTTGACATCTTGAGGATCACTCAATTTCAGGAAGGTAGTTTACCTGTGAGGTATCTTGGTGTTCCTCCCATTACTACTAGACTTAAAGCTAGTGATTGTAAAAGTCTTGTTGATAAGATTACTAATAGGATTAAATCTTGGACTAACAAAACTCCGTCCTATGCTGGGAGGGCCCAGCTGATTAGTACTATCCTGTTCTCTATGCAAGTCTATTGGGCTTCCCTTTTTATCCTTCCTAAAAAAGTCATTAAGAAGATTGAAGCCTTGTGTAGGTCTTTTCTTTGGTCTGGCCTTGAGCTTAAAAAATCTGCTGGTAAGGTTGCTTGGGATAGAATCTGTGCCCCCAAAAATGAAGGGGGGTTAGGTTTTAAGTCCTTAGATATTTGGAATAGAGCTGCTATATCTAAGCATATTTGGTTTATAGTGGTAGGTGGGGAGCAATCTATGTGGTGTCAATAGGTGAACTCTTACTTGTTGAAAGGCCATAGTTTCTGGGCTGTTGCTGTCCCTAGTAACCCCTCTTGGGTGTGGAGGAAAATCTTATCTTTGAGGGAGAATATGTTCCCCTTGATTAAGTATAAGATTGGTAATGGGGAAGGCATTTCCTTATGGTATGATAATTGGCACCCTCTTGGATCCCTCTGGTCTAAGTATGGCAATAGTTTGATGTATGACACTGCATTAAATGCTAAGGCTAAGGTGGCCTCTATTGTGGGGGCTAGTTGTTGGAATTGGCCTAATGCTTCTTCTTGAGAGGTGAGGGAGATTATTGCCCTTACTCCTCCGGACATTATTCCCTCCTTTGGAGGTCATGATTGAGCCATTTGGCTGCCTTAAAAGGATGGAAATTTCAATATTGGTTCTGTTTGGAATTCCTGGAGATTGAAGTGGCCTCTTGTTAATTGGGCTAACCTGGTATGGAGTCCTCACTCTATTCCTAGGGTGGGTTTCATTATTTGGATGGGTCGGTTAAACACTGGTGATAGGCTTGCCATCTTTGGTATTAACCCTAACCCAGTTTGCCCCCTATGTGGTATACCTGGTGAGGACCATGATCACCTCTTTTTTCAATGAAAATTCTCTTCTAAGGTGTGGACTGATGTGCTATCCAAATGCAATACAAATTGGCACGGCCTTACCTGGTTGGGTTTGGTGGACTTGATAGCTAGAGACTGTAAAGACAAGTCTCTTGTTGCTATTGTCAAAAGACTTGCCTTTTGTTGTACTATGTACCATGTTTGGTTAGAGAGAAACAATCGTATTTTTACCAAGGAAAGGAAACCAGAAGAAATCATTTTGAGGAACATCATAAGCATGGTCAGATATAGAGCCCTTGCTCTCAACAACATTAAGAAATCCCAAAATGATATGTGGTTTCTACAAGAATGGAGATTGCCTTCAAATACCATCAAAATTTGAGGGCTTTGTTAGCTGTGTGGGTCGAGTGAATGGGAGCACTATACTGTGGGTTGAGTTTAGCAAGGTTCTATAGTGAGTTAATAAGCTTCTATGTTTTGCAGGTATGGGATGTGGCAGCTCTTCAAAGAGGGTTGTGAGTTCACTATATGTGGGTTGAGTGATGTTAGCCACATACTGAGTGCTAATGTTTGCTCTATGTTTGTATTACAGGCTTGGGATCCTAGCTGGTATTGGGGTAGGGAATGTTAATTGGTGAGGGTTGAGTGAAGTGAGCCACAAATTGTTGTTACATCTTTCTCTACTTCTTTATTTATGTTATGATTCTATCTGAGTTCCGTACACTGTTTTGTTTTGAGGGGTGTGGTTATTGGGGGTTGAGTGATATAGCCCTTATATATTGTGAGTTTTGCTATATATACAGTGTTTTGTAATCAATCTATTGTGTTTTTTCATTTATGTGATGCTGCCTTTTCCAGGTTACTCTGATCTGTTTTGGGTAGCAGTGGAGATGGGCTATTTTTGAGTGTTGTCTAGATTGAGGCCTCACGTAGTGTAGTTGTTTCACAGACCGGGCCGCATGCTGCGCCAGTTTGTATGGAATTTTTTGCTGGATAATATGATGTTTTATTATATAGTTTTATGGCTTTAGTTATTTGATCAGTATCGATTTGTTTAATGGTTTTTTTTTTTTTTTTTGTCTAGTTTTGCTTACTGTTTGCTTGCTCTATGTTTCTTTTTTTTTCTTTTTCTTTTTAGGCCTTGTCGGTCTTGCTCTCTTTAGCTGGGTTAGGGCCTTGTTGGTTACCTTCTTTGTCCCCCCCTATTTTTGTTTGAGATATGGTGGGTGAACAAGGTGGTGGCCCTTTGTTTGAGTTGTTGTCTGGTAGCCTTGTTAGCCTTGTGTTTTGTTTTGCTATCTGGCTGCCTTTTGTTTTGTTCTTTTATTTAGCTGGGTTAGGGCCTGGGGCATTCCCCTTGTATTCTTGTATATCCTTTGTTTTATTTTATGACTTATTCACTCAGAAAAAAAAAAGAGAGCAATATGACACAAAACGTAAATTACAAGAACTTATTGTAATTCGCCCTATATATTAATATTGCTTAAACAAAAATTATAAACACTCAATAAACAATATCGATAAACTAAAATGAGCAAAGGATGTAGTAGAAATGCTTGAATTTTTCATTGAATAGACTCGAATTTTCATCAATTTTTAGATACATCAGTAGTTGTTGTAGTTTTAATTCTGGAGAGAAAGACTGTAGACACCCCATTTTTGACCGTCCTCAAGACTTGGACGTCATCGTTTGAACACTCGATGATCATCCATGCTCATGTTTGTTTTGAGTTCCTGAAGGTCTCGGCTGTGCGCCTTGCCTTGGAGTCTCCCAACTTGTCTGTATTGTGCTTGGTTGTGGACCAAAGCTTGTGGCTTTGTTTTTTAGGGAAGCGGGTAGCCTGCTGGCCAGGCCTACAACCCATCGGCCATGCCCTCTTTCCATCAGCCATCAGAAGTGGCCGGTCGGCTTCACTGATGGCCGGTCGGCTCCTTTAATGGTCGATCGGCCATATCTTTTGGCCGAGGTCTTTTTCTTTGCTTTTGCAGATATTTTGTTGCCAGCTGTGCCAGCTGGTGGGCACAGATAGCATCCTCCATACACGTGTATGGAGAGATTGTAACAAGTTTCTAGCTTGTCCAAGAAGCTTGAAGCTTGTGATTCTATATAAGGGGAGGCTCCCCTTCCCTTTCAGAGGTTCATAAAATTTACATAGAGATATAAATATCCCTCTCTTTCTATATTTCTCCCTCTCTCTATATTTGTGTTGTTTGTGCCTTAAAGTGGGTTTTCTTCACACTTTTGCACACAAACACCTAGTGAAACACCTTCACTCTTGAACTGAGGTTCTTGGAGGTTGCATTTGAGTGGTTTTCGCTTGATTTTTGCCTCTGAAGTTGCTGTTTTGAAGTTGTGCTTCAAGGGTGAGTAATAGCCTCTTTAAAGCTTTGTTGTAGTTGCTTATTTAGCCATCTTTTCATGCTTCTTTTGGCTTAGCTTTCAACTGTAAAAAGCTTCATTTTCAAGTGCTTAAAGTGTTTGTTTGAGGCCTCTTTGGTGTTGGGCCCTTTTGTGCCTTATTTTGCCATGTTTTGAGCTACCCTTTTAGGCCTTTGAGATCACCTTCGTTTGGCCTCTTCACCACTGAATTCCAAAGGAATTTCAGTGGTGGAAAGTGTGTTTTGAGGCCCCAAATGAGTGGGGGTTGTCCGCCTTCCTCTTTTCTTGTGTACTTATGTTGATGGCTCACCACATTAGCATGTTTTTCTACCTCATTAAGGCTCCATTTCAGCATGTCTTAGGCCTTGTTTTGCCATGATATAGCTCTATTTGAGGTTGGTTTGGTTACCTCATGCATGCTTTTTATACTTGTAGTGTAATCTTGCCATTTAGCCTTGTGTGCTAAATGCTTTGATCCATCATGTTAGCCTCCTTGAGGCTCCATCTCAGCATTTTTTTGGTGTTATTTTAGCATGATATAGCTCTGTTTTGGATCGGTTTGATTGACTCTTGCATGCTTCATAACCTTGTAGTGCAATCCTCCTTATTGCCTTAACATGCATCATGCTTTGGACCACCATTTTAGCATGTTTTTGGCTCCACTCCACCAAGCTTTTACTCATGTTTTGCCATGCTTAAGCTCTGTTTTAAGTGTTTTTGGTCCTGCATGCCTTGCTTTTTATAGCCATAATGCAATCTTGCTCACTAGCTTTGTGTTTTGAGTCTACTAGCATGCATTGCTTGGGCTATTTGCATGATTTAGCATCATTTGATATATGAT